TTTTTTAAAAATTTTATTAATTTCAATGAAAATTTACAGAGACTTTGAATGTCCATTCATTCCTTGTTGCACTTTTCTCCCCTCCTAACCCTCCCCCCCAGTACACTACCCTCTTGGAAAAGTAAAAGAAAACTTCTTTCATTGTTTTACAAACCCTCCCCCAGGTCCACTCCACCATGTCGCCTTCGCTCTAGACTCCTGTCATGACAAAAATACCTAATCACATGTCCCTTTTAAACCGTTTTCTCCCTCATGTGTTTCAATGCAGTATACATTATTGAACCCATCTTTCTCAGTCTCCCCCCAACCCCGATGTCAGTCCTGTTTTACAACAGTGGCACCAAGCAGTATTTGTCCTTTTGTGTCTGAGAAACTTCACTCAGCATCATGTCCTCCAGTGTCACCCATTTTGAATACTATTGCATGAGTTCCTTGTTTTTCAATGCAATGTAGTATTCCATTGTGTGAATATACCACAGCTTCTCTATCCGTTCATTTTTTGATGGGCACTTAGGTTGTTTCCAACTCCTTGCCATTGTGAACAAAGCTGTGATAAACATGAGTGTGCAAGGGGTAGCATTTTTTACGAGGCTTCACCCTCCAAATTGTACTCAGCTAGAGAGTGCTGAACAAATCAACAAAGACAGGTTAGAGGCAGTCTTCTGTGGAATTAATTTCCAGGGTTGAACCAGGCAGATCTGGGAAGGAAGGAATCAAGCAAGGCTCTCACATTCCTTCCCCCTTTGCACTCCTTTCTCTCCATCTTCATGTCTCCTCCCTCCCCCTGCCCAATTTAGATAAACCAGCCTTTAGAGTACTTAGCTCAACATTCATGGTATCATTTACCAGCTGCTCCTAGGAAGAAACACTGGTAATCTCCTCTCATGCGATTTACAGCCTCTGAGCACCCACTGGAGGGACAACTATGAGTCATGAGATGTGCATTAAGTCTCCATTATTGCGGTGCCTGACAGAAGCTGGCCCCACAGGCAATGTGGAAATATAGAAGACAGAGCAGGTGGCTCCAAGTCTTCTCTCATGTGATCCAGGGAAGCTCGCTGTCTGGGAGAAGGACTGTCTGTAACATCAACTCAAGTGGAAAGGGCAATGGGCAGGTACGAGAAGGCTGGGATGTGTGGCTGACCTGTGCTGCCAACTCCACAAACAACTTCCCTTTCCCAAGCATCAACAGCCCTTATGTGCTCAGCAAAAGAGCTGATTTCGTGAAACGTGTGCAAATGCTCTGACACAAAAATGGAAAAGTTGCACAGGCTCCTGGTGGCTAGCTACCACGCACACCCAGTCTTGAGAATTTAAGTGCTTTCTGGGGCTAATCCAATGGGTCAGCAATCGAATTGACTGTGACCCGCTGGGTTGGACAGAAAAGCAGAATCACATTACCAACGTGAACCGTATGTGAGGTTAAATGCAATTGCCTGGCCCCGCTGGCCACGAGACAACCTCTGTAGAACCTATGCTCCCTGATCCCAGAGGTATGACTGTGCACTGCTTCTCCCGCCACCGCCCTTTCTGTCTTGTCATTTTGCCTCCCTGCTGCCATGGAAGAAAGTGCTTGCTCCTCCCTCAAAGGCACTGCCAGGATAGTCTGGCTCTGCTGCTCAGACATATCCTGTTCCATCTGTTCCTCCCTGATTCAGAGGGCTACTGGGCTTCAGAGCCAGGCAACGAAACAGAGCATGCAGAACTGACATCACTTGCAAGCTGCCAGGTCTCATAACCTAGTGGGTGTGCTACAAATGGACGGGAAGTGGGGGGAAAGGCCAAACTGGTCATTGTTTTTAGCTCTAACCTTCCCAAGAACACCAGCAGCTTCTGACCAACACAGAGGATTCTGCGCACAACAGTGAGGAATTTGCCTTTCTTGCCTCTGACCTCCACCTCCCCTATTGAGACTGTGAGCTCCCTGAGGGCCATGATGGTATCCTGTATTGGTCTGGGCAGCCAAAGGTCAAGGGCAATAGCAAAAAGGCCGATGTGCACTACCCAGAACTATTAATATTATTAGAGGGTGCTCTGGTGGCCTCCTGGGTAGGGAGTCTGTGCTGCCAATCCAAAGGCAGGGGGTTTGAACACGACAACCTCCTCAAGAGGAAGATTTGCAGTCCCCTCCCATGCAAATAATAGCGTCTGAAAGCCTGCTGAAAGGTCAACTAGGAGTCCCTTCTGACTGCACGGGAATAAGTTGTTTGCTCCAATCATTCCTGGGGCTGGGAGGGGGTGGAGAGTGAGGGTGGTTATGGTGGTGCTAAGAAAAGTGTTTACCAAAATTGCTCACTTGGTGTCCTCTTGTAGGTTCACTATATCCCCCCAGGCCCTCGGTTTCCACATCTGTAAAATGGGAAAACAGTCACAGTGCCTGTTTTATGAATTTGACATTGCTGAGGACGGTGGAGGCAAAATGGACGGCACACCCAGGTGAGGGGTTGGGCAACAGCTAGCTCTCCCTCAACACTGACTAGCTGTTACAATTTTTTTCAGCCCTCAAAGCAGCTGAACTCTGACTGTTCAATTTCTTTTCTGGGGTGGCAGCAGGGAAAGATCACGCCTCGTATCTCCCAGGCTGTACCTGGCCTCAAAATACCATAGAGAAATACTCTGAAAATGGCTCCACGTCCCAGTGGTCAAAGAGCAGGCACAGAAGTGGCAGAAACAGTAGTCTCCATTCTGGGCTTGTGGAAAATGGAAAATAGACCATGGGGACAAGCCTTGTGGAGGGCAGAGATACACTACCCCCCCACCCCCACTCGGCCACCCACTCTAATCAGAGGAAAGAGACTGCAACCGCGGGAGCTGTAAAGAACAACGCTCTCAGAGCAGTAACAGGAGTGTCTAAACGTTGATAGGCACTTTTCTCTGAAGTGTGAACGTGCCCCTGGCGGGCTTGCCATACTGAAGGCAGGGCACTACCACTCGGGTTGACAAAGACATCCTGTGAAGGAGAAAATGTGATGGGGAGGGGGGCGGATCCTGCTGAAAAGGGATGGGGATGCGAACGCAGAGGGGTTCCATGGAAGGGTAGCCATGAAGGGGATATTCGAGAACATTTTCCTTTGTTTCAGAAAAAGAAAAATAACAAAGAATGAGAAAAGCAAACTATGGGGAGGGTTGGGCAGGGAGGAAAGTGTGCGACAATGAATGGATGGAAATCCAGTCTCTGTAAACTTTGATTAAAATTAATTTTTTTTGTTAAAAAAAGAATGAGCTCAATGTGCAAATCACTGTCTCTGGTAAATCAAAGAGAAAGTGCACTGGGGCAGGGCCCCCTCCGTGGCGGTAGTTGGAGATGCAGCCCAAGTAGAGGAAATGTGATACAGCATCAGGTTCCACTACTTAAGGATGTATTTATTCAGGCCCCCTATGGTTAACTACCTGGGTCTCCGATTAGGTATGCATCCTCTATGTTCTCTCAAGTCAAACCCTACCACTTGTTCCTCCGCTGGCACACAATGAGATTCTGTGATCAAGCGGCCAGCGACAGGGCTCCAGCAAAGCCCAAAGACTCAAAGCCGTGCCCCTTCCAAAGCACAACAGGAAGCGACAAAGATCCCCAATTAGACGCCAGGTTCTCCTAAGCAGAGATCCTGCCCTGCAGCTGTCAGTGTGACAGGTGTGTACAAGGTGCCCAGGCCCCAAGCTGGGCCCACTCATTTCGCAAGCAGGGAGTTAAACACATCCCTCCAATGGCCTCTCTGTCGCCTGATCGTGCGTGCTGACGATGAATCTGGACTACTTTGGAAACATTCAGCTACCCAGGGATGTGCTCATCAATTTCCTCCCTTCATAATGTATACAGCGTTTTGGTTGTGGTACTCGGTGATAAATAACTGAAGTGAATTCTAACTGCTTGCAGATTCCGTCTTATGTCTTCAACACCACTGTTTATATTCTCCCAGCTAGCCCATGTTCAACTTTATATGCAAACCAGAAATGGTATTCAGGATGAGGAGAAGTGGAGGGGAGGGGGGGAAGCAGCCAGTACATTTTTTGCTTTGGGAACTGAATATAAGATCACATTCTAAGTGCAGTATTTAACGGTGCAATGCTGGATACATAACATGCATGACCATTCCAAATGTGCCTTTCATTGCAAAGTCGGGCTCTTGTTGTGACATAGCTTGGTGCTCAATGAGTGCTGTCTGTGTGATGAAGGCATCTGTCATTTTCTACCAGATGCAGGCTGAGTGCTCTTTCTGGCCTGGCCTGCCTGTTGCCATGCCCCAGCGCCCCAGGACAGTGAGCTGACAGAGAACCTGGAGTCGGGGCACCAGAGGGCTGCAGCCGCTTTAAAGGGGAAGTGGCTACTTGGAGGTATGTCATCTACATGGGAGCGCATGGCCTCAGCGTGCCATGTTCTGTTGAACCAAAGGGAGAACTCGGCCAGTGTTGTCGTCTGGGTAAGTTCTGTGAGGTACATCTGCGACCACACTTGGTTAACATGAGGTGTGGCGACACCTATCACACAAGAGTGTTCCACGGAGCAGATGGTTACAGGCTACTTATCAGGAAGAGAACACACACACCAGCGACTCACATGATTAAGCTCAAAGTGCACTGAAACGAGGAAACGTATTGAATGGTTTTCCAGGCCCTTCTAATTCAATCACCAAACTTCAACAGGTGGCTCAGAGATGGGTGTCTGTGGGTTGTTCCCAGTCATGACATGATTCATGTGTCCCGCTCCTGTCCACCATCTCTAACTTCCCCAAATCCTAGTCCAAATCTTGCCTTGCCATTAATCTTCCCCTTCCAAGTCACCCCCCAAGTGATCTTTCCAAGCTCATTTCCCTTTCTCCTTAAGTCCCCACATGCACCCGACATGAGCACCACACACCTTACTCCTTCCCACTGCCCAGTCCAGCAGGAGGCACCTAGGAGGTAGCCGGCAAGTCTCTGGTGAACGATGGTGAATGAACGACACAATGAAGACGGCACATGGTTTTGCAATACCACATTGGATACACAGGGACGTTTTCACTTACTTCCCATTCTTAGGTGTGCTCCGGGCCTTTGTGGATGATGGAGAGTTGACGCCTGGGTTAGCGTTTGGAGAACCCCGTCTATCCTTACTATACCCACAGAGAGAAGAGAAACACATACACAGCAACAACCACAGAGATAAAAAGCAGTTAGCCACATCATTGAAGGAAAGGAATTTCAAAGTCTCTCTCTCTCTCTCTCTCTCTGTGTGTGTGTGTGTATGTCTCTGATCAAAATGGTACATGATCTTACCAGTGGTGCCCTGTAAAGGTCACAAGAGTAGAACTCATTGGTGAAGTTCAAAGAAAGGTATCTCTTTGGCATTCAAACTCTTGAGCTGGTAGATTCTACTCATGACAGCATCACAAGGCCAAGCCTTAAAGGAGGCTCTGGTAAAAAGAATTTTTTTTTAAAAAAAAAACCCCAACCCAAAAAACATCACCAAACCAACCTTGAACATGAAATATTTTCTTTCTGCCACTAGATCATCTGTATTTCAAGTTCAGTTCTGAAGCTGCTGCCTTTAAGTGAAGTCTGCCAAATGACTTCTAAAAGTCTTTGGCAGATACTATCAGATGAATTAATAATTTTTACTCATAATGTTAACATGGGAAGACCAGGAATTCAGATATTCTTTCAGGAGAAACACCACCTGCTTCATGAGTAATTGAATTTAAATCTCCACCTTCAATAACTCCACAGCTTATGTCAAACCTTGGAAACAATTACGAAATAAATCACAAGGAAGGTCTGCTTAATCTCATCAGGTTAATAAATGCAGACAAATTAATCACTTGAAGGTAAACAAAAAAAAGGGGATAATTGATTGGAGCCTTCTTGATTACTTTATTCTATTTCCTTTATCAAACTATTGTACCATTATCTTCAGTTCAGCTGCTTTGCCTGGAAATTATTACTTTACTTCATCTTCAGATTTCCATGGAAACCCATTGAAATCTTTTCTACTTGATGATATGTGGAATTATTTATTCTGATTTCATTATTATATCTACACAAACACACACATATACGTGTATATGCGTGTGTATGTGTATTTTTGTGAAGGTATGAACTATGTTGGCACAATCTTTTATAAAGAGTGATGGTGAGAAAGAAAACTGCAGATCTTGAATTTCAGTGCCTCTAATAGAGCCCTCTGATGGCACAAAGCATTGTCAAAGAGCTTTTCCAGGTACGTGTGAATCTTTTAAGTACCTTGAAAGTAGGCGTCTGCAAGCAGCTGTACTTCTGCGTGTGTGGTAGGGCTGTGGGTGAGTTTACAAAAGATATTCTGTCCTGCACCCATTAGCTTCAAAAAGGCCATGTGGATGGAATTGGAACAAGGGCTAGTCATGGAGCCGTGTTGATTACAAAGGTCACACAGGCATGTGTGAGCACAAGAAAGAACTTATGAGGAAAGAGTCTGACAAGTAAGTCCCAGCAGGTAGGCTTTAGTGTCTAGAAAGTGTAGCCAACAGCTCTCTGAAGTGAGAGATAGCAAGATGAGCTCTGATCCTGAGGTAGGTGGTTCAGGACACCTGCTGAATGGGTGATTCTGGGCAGAGTGGGCACCAATTCTATCCTGGAGGTGTCCGAAGGCCCTGGCATTCCTGCACAGGGCTGGGACTATTTCCCTGTGCTACTCACAGACCCATCAGAAAGTGACAACCTAGTGAGTGGCAACTCAAGAACTCATCACCTACGCTGCCCCATCCTTCCAAGATGACTTCCGGGAGAAGAACTCCTCAACCAGAACCCGTTTCAGATGCAGACAGCACTGGAACACTGAATGAAAGCCTTGAACTCAGAAGTAAAAACCAAACCTTGGAGAAGTCAGCACAGTACAACTGGGGATTGTAGCAGAGCCCAGGGAGGCCGTGGGTGGAGCAAATGGTTAATGTGTTTAACTGCTAACCAGGAGGTTGGAAGATCGACACCCCCCAGAGGTGCCTGGAAGAAAGGCCTGGGAATCCATTCCCTCAAAATCAGTTCTCAAAACCCCTCTAGAGCACAGCTCTCCTCTGGCATGTTGAGGATTACTCTGAGTTGGAATCGACTCAGTGGTAACTGCTCTTTTGGCTTGCTTTTAAGCTATTCTTACAAGGAAAGGAGCTGCATCACAAACCCAAAGGCAGGTTGTTTAAGTCTACCAGCTGCTCCATAGGAGAAGGATGAGCTGTCGCCTCCTGTGAGATTTAGTCTCTGAAAACCCTGTGGAAAGTCAGCTACGAGTTGGTTCTGACTTAATGGTACACAACAACAATAATACAGATGATGGCCTGGGGTGGTGCAAATAATTCACATGCTAGGTTGCTAACCAAAATCTTCTAGGTCCAAATCCACCCAGAGGTACCTCGGAAGAAAGCCCTGGCAATCTGACTCCACTGTTACAACCAAGAAAACACTACAGAGTGCAGTTTTTCCTCTGACATAGATGAGTCAGAGTTCACGTGATGCTAAGTGGGGTTTTAGCAGAGCCCAGAGCCTGGAGCAGAAGATAAAGATCTGCTAAGGGTTGCAAAAACACAAGCATGTCTCAGCTTCCTCAGTTCTACTCCCTGGTCCCTCCCTGGCCACTGAGTCTTCCTTCTCAAACCATGTTGCTGTGTGGCACTGAGCTCGGAACTGACTCACAGCTGACCCTCCAGCAGATTTCTTGAGGCTGTAAATGGCACAGGAGGAGACTGCTCATCTTGTCCCTCAGAGCAGCTGGTGGATTTGAAATTCCTGCCCTTGGGCTGGCGGCACAATTCCTTACCCACTAGGCCACCAGTGCTCCCTCCTCAAACCATAAGCAATGGGGGAACTACTCGAAGCCTTCTGAAACAAGGGCTCATTGGACGTTTATCTCGTGCACAGTTGGGCTTTGGGGCTCCTTTGGATTCCGAGGCACCCAAGACTTCCTGAGTCACTAAGCTCAGGCGTCCACAATCTTTTCAATAAAAGAATACTCACTCCTGCTGCTGAATTCCCATCTCCATGCCTGAGGCTGAGAACCCCGCCTTACCCGTGTCTGTGTCTCAGCACCGTGCAGTTTGCCGCAGGACACAGAGAAAGCTGGCAGCTGGCAGTGGTGGCCTTAGTGTTAGTAACTGCTGCCCTGTGGGGTGCGGGTGGGGCCACTCCTGGAGCTGCTGCTTGTTGTTGTTATGTGCCTGTGAGTCAATTACAACTCAAGGCCACCCTATGAAGAGTGGCTCTGATCCTTGCCCTACCCTGAGCCAACCTCATCAGCTCGGATGTGCCTGATTCCATTGTTAGTCACTGTGTCAATCCGTCTCAGCCAGGGCCTTCCTCTCTTGCACTGACCTTCTCCCCTTCCACGTATGATGTCCTTCTCCAAGGACTGGCCCCTCCTGACCATATTCTTTGAAAGCTAGGCAGAGTGACCTATGAGAATCTATAGGCAAATCTCACAAGTACAGACAAGAGCGCAATAAAAAGGAAAATATTCTTGGCAGCGTGGGGTGGGGGGAATCAGAGGCAGAAGGAGAGCTGCCAAGTGTTCGAAGGCGTTTGCAGGAGGATAATCAAATAACCAAAAAAATGTTTGTTCTTTGGCAGTGAAAGGGCTGGGGAGGGGCTGGGATCCCGGTGGTGTTGTTAGTGCCGTCACGTCAATTTTTGTGAAGGTGGCACAGGATAGGACAGAGTTCACATCCGTTGCTCTTAGGGTCGCAATGAATCATACTGGACTAGACAGTACTGAACAACAACAACAACAACAACAACCACTTCATGTGGCAGAGTGGAACTGCCTCACAGGGTTTTCTTATCTTCAGGGGAGTGGATTGCCAGGTATTTCTCCCATGGAGTCACCGGGTGGGCTTGAACTGTCAACTGCTTAGCATCCAAGCACTGCACCGTTTTGCCACCAGGTCCACTGGCTTGGTTCCTGCGAGTCTGATTTTTGTAGTGATACTAAGAGCTGAAAGTCCTTGTGTGATGCAGTTTGTGCTTATCTACCAACTCAAAAGGGAGCTCTGGCGGCTATGGTAAGAAGCTGGGCTGCAATTCCCAAGATACACAGTTCGAACCCACCAGCTGCTCTGTGAGAGAAGGATGAGCAATCTCCTTCCGTGTGACTGACAGCCTCTGAAAACCTGCTGGAGGGTGAGCTATGATTCGGCTTTGACTCGATGGCACACAACAACCAACAAACAACTAATCTGAGGATGAATAGTTCAAACCCACTACCCAGCAGCACCATGGAAGGAAAATCTGGTGACCTGCTTCCTTTGTGCAGTGGAGGGGGGGGGGTGTCGAGCTGGGAAAGATATTCTGCCCTGACTCATCAGCTTTAAATGGTGGATGGGATGATGGTCAAAGAGCAGTTCTACGGGGAGTGAGAATCAACTTGCCAGCAACGAATGAGCTTGATTTCATAGGAAAGTTTTCTGTATCTTTCTACTGAGGTTACTACTGAGCCACTGTTCTTTCTCCCCAAAGATCCAGGCTGGCTGGATAAGTCTGGACAAAATATTATTCTGAAGCCTTGAGACACAGGAGATACAAAGCAGTGCTTTCAGAGAGGCTTACTTTTCCAGAGCTGCCCCATGAGATTTAAAGAGAAAATGCTACAGTTGCAGATGTCTGAGAGCCTTGGGGAGCTTAGAAGACCCGGGGCAGGGGCCCAGATTCTAAGCAGCTGCCAATGACCTTGGCCACTGCAACCTCCAGTGAGCCTGGGGACATACAGGGATGACTCCTTTAGGCGCCTACATCATAAAGATGATAATTTGAAGTATGCAAGATTGCAGGGAGATTTCCTTCAATCAGAAGTGGTTCCTAACCTATGGTACCTGAAGTTAATACCTAACCTGTGCATCTGAAATAAACCAACCCTAGTATATACAGGGAGCTCTGGTGGCCTAGTCGTAAGGAGCCATGCTGCCAGCATGAAGGCACAAGGTTCAAACCCACCAGCTGCTCTGTGGGAGAAAGATGGGCGACCTCCCCTACTGTCGTAAACAACTCATAGCAACTCTATGAACGAAAGACCTGAACACTTGTATAACTTTCATCCTTTCTCCAGGTTCATTTCCAGAGGCAAGCTATTTTGGAAGTGGATGCCACTCCTGCTTCCAAG